AATGACCCCAAGCATACAGCCAAAGCTACCCAGGAGTTCATGAGAGCAAAAAGGTGGAATATTCTGCAATGGCCAAGTCAATCACCAGATCTTAACCCAATTGAGCATGCATTTCACTTGCTCAAATCCAGACTTCAGACGGAAAGACCCACTAACAAGCAAGACCTGAAGGCTGCGGCTGTAAAGGCCTGGCAAAGCATTAAAGGAGGAAACCCAGCGTTTGGTGATGTCCATGGGTTCCAGACTTAAGGCAGTGATTGCCTCCAAAGGATTCGCAACAAAATATTGAAAAAACTTTTTTGTTTGGGTTATGTTTATATGTCCAATTACTTTTGAGCTCCTAAAATGTGGAGTTTGTAAACAAATGTGTACAATTCCTACATTTTCTATCAGATATTTTTGTTCAACCCTTTAAATTAAACGTTACAATCTGCACTTGAATTCTGTTATAGAGGTTTCATTTCAAATCCAATGCGGTGGCATGCAGAGCCCAACTCACAAATATTGTGTTACTGTCCAAATATTTCTGGCCCTAACTGTATATTACATCCTCCAGGTTTGAGAAAAAGAGAAAGAAAAGAAAAAGCAGTTTCATCAAGGGAATATGGGTAAATTGAATTTGAGGGAGTGTAGCTGAAGTATGCAAAGTATTAATCTGTACAAAGGTTGGATCCTGTCTTATGACTACTGGATATTTATTATTATTATTATCATTATTGTAGTCTCCTTTGAAAGCATCCAACTGATTTATTACAGCAATAAGACCTTGATTTTAAGATTAGAACTTGCTTGGATTTGAACCAAACTTGGAAACCCTCAGTGCCTCGCCAAGGCGTTTACACCTGAACTTCTTCTGTGATTAATGTGTGTGTGTGTTTTCTGAAAAGACACATTAACCACAGACGTTTAAAATAAAATAATATATATATTATTTATTTTTATTATATATATATATATATATCACAGTAAATTTGGCAGTGTTAAAGCAACACCTATAGAGTTGAATTTAACACCGTTTCCGAGTCTATATGTTCCCTATCGGAATTGGTGTTAATGTTACTCTTTCAACAGTGTTACATTTTCAGAGTTAAATTTAACTCTAAATCGAGTAAAAATTTTACACTGGCTAACACTGCAGTGTTAATAAAACTTAACACTCCTAGTCAATTAACTCTGATAAGAGTAAATATGATTCTAATCAGAGTTAATAAGTTACTCCATAATGGTGAAAAAACTACTCTGGTTCTCATGTTATTTAACACTGCATCAAGTTATTGAAAGTTTACACTGGAGGCTCATATAACTCCTATGAGTGTTAAACTGACTCTCCACTGTGTAGATAACTTACTCTTTAGCTGTGAAAAAACAACTCTGCACAGATAAATATGAAGTGCTATTTTTACACTTTTGTAGAGTCAAATGTACAACTGAATAAAAATCACATTACCACAGAAATGCATTTAACTTATTTATTGAATAAAAGCAGATTTTAATATCCACTGTTAACTTTTGTCACAGTAACATCACATGGCGTACATCCCATTGACGGCTCGAAGTTGACAGAGTACATTTAAGGCAAAGAGTTTTTCCATCCAAGTAACCATGAACATGTATGTTGTGGCAAACACGTAATGTGCCTTAAACAGTTCATCAAAAGCACCAAGAGAGGATGTTGACCTGCAAGCAATGGCATTCTTGTCAAGGATGATGAAGAACTGGTGGGCTACTTTCTTCCTCCGTCCCACAGCAAGGAGATAGGGTTGTGTGCTCGTCGTGATGGCATCAAGATGTTCTTGAATGTTGGTTCCTATCTGTGGGGAAAAAGAAAAGAACAATATAATTACAAAGCTGCAATGTTCCACAAAAAACAGATATATGAAAAAACAGCATTTAACTATGATATCACCGTAAAACTGAAATTCTCCCAGTGAAACAACCTCGAGTATAACATAAAATAAAATTTGCAACAAATACAAACCTTCTTGAAGACCACAAGATGCTTCTCTGCTTGGGAGGCAGATACCTTCCCTGGTCTCTTACGACCCAAGGCAGAGGGGGGAATCAGGTGTAGCAGCAGCAAAATCGATGAGAGGTCACTGTCCCAACCTGTGATAAAAATATTTGATGTTGAATTGACCATCAAAACCTAGTGACTACACAATTTAAATTATGTGTACATCACTAAGTGAAGCTCACACAATAATTAAATTCTACATATTGTTGAAAGTCATCCTTACTCATGTCATCATCCACTTCAGTGCTATCCTCAGGAGTATCAGCTGCCAGGAGAAGTTCTTCAAGGTCACTGGTGGTTGGAAGCTCCCTGCATTGTTGGATGATCTTTCTCTTGAACGTGGTCGTCCATTTTTCCAGAAACTTGCCAGACACATCTTCTCCAAACATCAGGACAAAATCCTGCTCCACCTAGGATGTAGATAGTAAAAAGCTTAAAACATTTCCCAGCCACTTTAACTGTATTCATTTTTGACTTGTCATAAAAATACACTATTTTTACATGACTGTAAAATTATCAAAATAAATAATTACCAAGCCTTTGACATCTTTGAAACGTGGAAAGACAGAGAGTATGTTGCTTGACCGTTGGGGGTCAAGGACCATGTTGCGCCGGAAGTCAAATGTGAGCTTCATCTTCTTCTTGATTGTGTCCTCATCAGCTGAATGCTTAATCAGTGCGATGGCTTCCTTGCACTCTTCTTCACTCAGGACAGTCTCTGGAACAAACTTGGTCTCGTCTAGCAGCTGGTCCTCCAAGCCCTTGTTGACAAGATCCTTCTTCGGATGATGCTAGTAAATATAAGAAAATCTTTCAACTTACAAAAACAAGAATGAGCTTGGCTGAGATTCCTCAGGCGATTCCATCATGGAGACAAATTCTAACCATAAGAGAAGCAGATGAAAGACAAAAACAGTAATCACAATGAAATAGCAAGCCTATTAAATACTAAAATGAATTACAAATATAACAAACCAGTTTCATATTTGATGGTTAGCAGAGGATCCTTAACAACATCTTCATCCAACTCAGTCCCTGAACTGTCAACAACCTTCACGCCCTCTGTTACAGTTGGCAGGCCAAATTTTGCAAATGCCAGAGAAAAAGACAAATGCTTGTCTAAACCACAATTATGAGGTTATGTTGCTCTAATACTCACATGTGCAGATAAATTCTGGAACATTACGTTTGAATAAAATGTCAAGTAACATTACAAGCGCCTCAGAGCTTCCTGTGTAAAGCTCCCAGTGTCTTACCTGCTGTCAAAAACTCCTTCAGATTCGGCTCCATTAGTCGGACAAATTTTTGCAGCTCGCCAAGTCTTGTTTTAATCAACATGGTTCCTGCAGCACATAATTCCTCAGTCATTCATCTTCAGTACTGGAATGCTTTCAGTTTATGAAACGTGCCAACTGCTTCACAAACCAATACAGCTCACATTACATCGTTTTCATAGAAAACAATGATTAAAGTTTACACAATAATGGCTTGGGCGCAAATTAATTTGACTTCTTTGCACTCTTATCCAAGTTAGACAATTAATAAATGCCCTTTCCTTCAGTAACTAGAACAGTCAATTCAACTGCCTCGCTTCTTCTGTTAGCACTAGCAACGGTTAATGGCGGAGTCACGCAAGGTTTACAGTAGAGCTATGATGCTGGGCACCGGGAAAAAAAATCACTCGCGCCAAATTCAGTGTCAACTATGAAACTGGACTATTAGCATCGCTTACGGTTAATTTATGTTGCATTGCAAAAATAACTAAATAAATACTAAATAAAACAAATATCTATGCTATATGGCTTGGACACGGATTTTTAGGCGGACATTTTAAGCTAGGCATTCCTCGGTCAGGTTAGCTGTATAAAACTCAGTATTTAGATATCTAGCCCACTCATATACCGGGAAACAAATAAAATATTCTTATAAAACAATTCAAATTGTATTATTATCTTATAAAAAGAAACTTACCGCAGTCGTTCAAGCAGGAGAAAAATGGCGTCCACACAACGGTTAGACTTGTTGGTTTGAGAGGAGGAGGGGGCGGAGCTTGTCAGAGTCAAATTGACAGGACGTAAATACACTCTGGAAATTTACACCAACACTAGGTGGCATTATACTCAGTCTGTTGTATTAGCTCTGAAAGAGTCAATCAATTTTAACACAGCATATTTAACACTGCAAAATTTACTGTATATATATATATATATATATATATATATATATATATATATATATATATTATATTCTTTGCTGCATTTTGATCAAAATGTGAAGAAATATTTCCATGAATGATTAGTTAGTTTTGACTCTATTCAAATTGTTTATTTTAATTTTTAAATTATTTTCAGATTGAAAACTCACACATGCAAAAATCATATTTGCGCTTAAAAAAAAATCCAGTTTCTGGGAATAGCGTGTTTTCCTCTACTTGATTCCGGACACACATGCTTAATACAGTTTTTTTTTTTTTTTTTTTTTTTTTTTTGTCTTTTTGCACGTTCCAAAATATCATTCATAAACGTATCTGAGCACATCTTAAGTTTGCTCTACCGCCTGGCTGAGTCCTCTGGCTCCTGGTGCTTATCAGCTGCTATGGGAACGTCGCGGTCTGCCACCCGGGATAAGACGTTACAATGAAGCAGGAGGGGACGGACGGGAAACAGCGCCAGTAACTACAAAACGTGTCTTTTTGTCATTGTGGGAGAAAAAATACATAAAAAAAAAAAAAAAAAAACGCAGGTTTTTAGATATCGCAAATATTTCTTGACCTGTACTTTTTTCCACTCCCTCCCTCTTTCTCTCTCTCTCTCTCTCTCTCTCTCTCTCTCTCTCTCTCTCTCTCTCTCTCTCTCTCTCTCTCTCTCTCTCTCTCTCTCTCACACACACACACACACACACACACACACCTGTACTCACGCACACACACTCGCTCACATAAAAGGTTTCGGTCTGTGGCCCTCAGCTCAGTGAAGTGCCAGGACTTCCATTTATCCACAGAGGTCTGCCTGTTTCTGAGCAGTAACAATAATTCAAAAGAGTTGCTTTCTAAGCAGATTTTAAAAAACCCAACAAACTAGTAATAATAATAATAAAGAGACAAACAGGATGTCAGGGAGCTCTGCGGTCCGCTCCTTCGCTGTCGCAGACTACGTGGTTTTCGCCGTCATGCTGCTGGTGTCCGCCGCCATCGGGGTCTACTTCGCCTGGGCCGACAGGAGGCAGCGCAGCGCCGGGGACTTCCTGACCGGGGGCCGCAGGCTGACGGCGCTGCCCGTCTCTCTGTCCCTGTCCGCCAGCTTCATGTCGGCCGTCACGGTGCTGGGGAACCCGGCCGAGGTGAGACGGGTGGGACGGGCCGGCGTGCTCAGAAAACAGCTCCGTCGTTCCCTAACACGGTTCCAACTCGTGTGCAGGTGTACCTCTACGGAGCCAGCATCGCGTTTTACGCCGTCTCCTACGTCGTCACCATGGTGATAACCTCCGAGGTCTTCCTGCCGGTCTTCTACAAGCTGAACATCACGAGCACGTACGAGGTCAGAGCGGTTGAACTTGTGGTGTTGTGTGGTTGTTTGTAACCCGCGTGGCTCGCGCAGGCAAACGTTTAAAGGCCGAGCGGGACTTGAATCACAATTTTGATGTCTGATTTTTCAAGTTTTCTGTCAGAATAACAACAAAAGAAAGAAAAGGGGGGTGGGGGGGTGAAGGGGAGGAGGGTCACTCTGTCTGATCCATTGTGACATTTGATCATTTTAGGCATTGTTTTATACACACCTAAATCTCATTATTTCTTAAGGTCATGACACTGGGGGGAGGAATGAGGATCCTGAACAGACCAGTGGGGGACAATGGGTGAACTAAAACATTAGTGAATGTTGGGATGTTAAAGTCACATTCTCTTTCTTTTGGATGCGTTTCCGTCCAGTACCTGGAGCTGCGTTTCAACAGAGCGACCCGTCTGATGGGAACCATGCTCTTCATTGTTCAGACAGTGAGTGTGGGGCCAGTGAGCACGTAATTACTGCTCAGTCTGGGTAAAGGCACAAACCTGTCTCCTGTTGTTGTTATTGCAGATTCTTTATACCGGAATCGTCATCTACGCTCCAGCTCTCGCTTTGAACCAAGGTATGCGGTCAGACTCATGAGTTGTTCTTGGCTTCGTCATGATGATTGACCACAGCCTCTCTCTCTCTGTCTCTCTCTTTCTCTCTCTCGCTGCAGTGACTGGTCTGGATCTGTGGGGCGCCATGATTTCAACAGGAGTGGTCTGTACTTTTTACTGCACAATGGTGCGTATTGAAACATGCAAGTTAATGTAAAAAATAATAAATAAATAAATAAATGCCAAAGATCAAAAAAGTCTAATTATGGCCGTTGTAGACAGAATAAAAGAGAGTACGTTTCTGAAAAAAAAAAAAATAATAATAATAAAAATATATATAATGTGAGACTTTGACATTTTTTAAACTTTCTTGTTTTAGATTTTTTTTGTATTGTTTTGTTTTTTGGTGGAAATTCACTCCTCCTTTTTTTTCTGTTCACATTGGACCCAATGCATCTTCGTCCACAGCTAATTTACAAATTTGCTTGTGCTTTATATTGGTGCAGGGTGGCCTGAAGGCGGTGGTGTGGACTGATGTAATACAGGTGGGAATATTTAAAGTAAAACAAAAACCACCAAAATAATATCAGACACTGAAAAAGGTGACCTGACTATATAAAGAATGTGCTGTCATATTTGTTGCTGGTTTTGGTTGTACTACAAGTCTTGGGCGGCTGGACTAAAGACTGAAACTTGCAATTGCTTTTGTCTTGCTACTTTTCCATAAGGTTGTATTAATAAACTGCAGAATTATGTGCTACTTTGTGATCAAGTATGATCTGAATAAAATACACCAAAGTAATGCAACAAAAAGGGCATAAATGTATTTGTGGAGCCATGTACAAATAGCTCATTTTCTTCCTACAGCTTGGTGTCATGCTTGCGGGCTTCCTCGCCGTCATGATCCGGTCTGTAGTCGTACAAGGCGGAGTCATCAACATCATCTCTGACTCACAGCAGGGAGGAAGACTAAATCTTCTGGAGTGAGTATGGGAAGCTACAGGATTCAGACTAAATTAGTGGCCAGTGCAGCAACTTCCTGCACTGGCCACCAATTAATACACCTCAACTGGGTCTGCGTATAAACTTGAAGAGTTCGACGTCTTTGCTGGATTACTTCAGCGAAGAAGAAATCTTTACTCGCAGTTTCCTTTATACTTTGCTGACACAGAGTTTAAAAACTGACTGATTGGGTGTGTAGTTGAGGTTTGCTGGTTTTACATGAGGATCATTCCCCGACCTGCCCGCAGAAAGAGTGTTTACCGAATCATCTCTAGAGGCCTTTTCATTCACTTAGCCGCTTATCAGCGGCAGGATTCCCGAGATCCTACGCCAGAAAACCTCAGGACCCACTTACACGGTGACGTATTCAGCCATGACCCTTGAGCCAGGCAGGTTGACAACATTTCAACGTTTCCCGTGTTTGGATCTCCAGGGTCCAAACCCTGGAGAAACCTGTGCCTTTGCTCTCCAAAGGCACAGGTTCATTGGAGCAGGTCACTAGAGCTTTTCATCTGACATTTTACTTGTTTATGGCACTTTAAAGCTTTATTGGATAATCATGAGGGCGATTTGAATTGTCTTGCCTCTACGTGTTGACCTGCTCTAAAATGAGATGTAATTAGATCCTAACATGTACAAAGAAAGTACAACTTTACCTTTTTTTATTTTTTTTTTATTCTTGAATTAGAAGATTGAAAAATCCTCACTAACATACAATTGTATTTCAACTAACAACAGAGTATCATCTGCATAAACATGTAACCTGATTTTACTCGCAACGGCCATTGAAGACCCAAAATACATCTTCAAGCACAAGAGTATCAATGATTTTTGATAAACTTTTGTACTGATGAAAGCTGAAGAAAAATATCAACTGATATCTTCACAAATTATTTTACCTGATTCAGAGAGATTAGAAATCACAGTTAAGGAAACATTCATGGCAATCAACAAACTATAAATTTCAGGAACATCCAAAGTATGTTCTCTACTTTTCCCATCAGCTTTGATCCAAACCCGCTGAGGAGACACACATTTTGGACTCTGTCTGTCGGAGGGGTATTCATTTGGCTCAGTATTTATGGCATCAACCAGGCACAGGTTCAAAGATACATCTCCTGCAAGAGTATGACTCATGCCAGACTGTAAGTTCTGCTCTCCAAAGGCACAGGTTCATTGGAGCGGGTCACTAGAGCTTTTCATCTGACATTTTTCTTTGTTCCAGTTCTTTGTTCATCAACTTGTTGGGGCTTTGGTCCATTTTACTGAGCTCAGTGTTCACAGGAATGTGTCTGTTCTCCGTCTATAAAAGTTGTGACCCCTGGACCAGCAGACTTATTTCTGCTCCTGATCAGGTACGGGTCCATCAACGCATGAACCGATTTCTTTGTGTATGTGTGTCACATCTCCAATGACGATGAATCTTTTGATGACACCCCAGCTATTGCCATATCTTGTGATGGACATCTTGGGCGGCTATCCTGGCCTTCCTGGACTGTTCGTTGCGGCAGCTTACAGCGGATCTCTGAGGTTCATCGCTATCTTTGAAAGCTCAGATATACACAGATTTATTTTCTTGTGTTGACTACAGCCTCTTTCTTTGAGTTTGTCTGACATGTCTTATGTGTTATGTGTTTGTATCCTCAGCACTGTGTCTTCCAGTATCAATGCACTTGCCACAGTGACAGTTGAGGACATCATAAGACCGTACACCAACTTTTCAGAAAAGCGCCTGACATGGATTTCAAAGGGAATGAGTGAGTGGATGATTGCTTGCCCATGGTACTAATAAAACAAGTTGGGAGTTCAAAACTTTGATCGGCAACATGAAAGGCTTTCCCATTGTTGTCTGCAGGTTTTTTCTATGGGATTTTATGCATTGGAATGGCTGGAGTGGCCTCTTTTATGGGAGGAATCTTGCAGGTAGCAATCTGCCCAGGCAGTTATTTCATTGGTTTAATTATGCCAAGACATGTGTCAGATGGTTTGTGGTTTATAATAAGAACAGTTAGTATGATGTCCTTTAAACAGGCAGCCTTCAGTATTTTTGGGATCATCGGTGGCCCTTTGCTTGGCTTGTTCACGCTGGGGATTCTATGTCCACTGGCCAATTCTAAAGTAAGTCTGCTTTCATGTAGATATAGCCTTTTGGTATTACAGTTCTAGTAAACCATTGGTCTGAAGTCAGTTTTTAAAATGACATTATCTTAGATATCTTGTGGTTTCTGTATGTCATTTGTGCCCTCTCCTATGAAAAAAAGGCTACCTTACTGTTCTGTCTTCCAGGGAGCTTTATCAGGCCTTTTTTCAGGCATGGCGTTATCTCTTTGGGTGGGCATTGGAGCTCAGATATACCCTCCGTCCAAAGCCTTGAGTCAACCTCTACCTCTTTCCACTGATGGATGCAATTTCACTCTGGCCCATGACTCAAATTGGACCTCCAGCGCTTTACCAATCCAGAACTTCACTTCGGTGGCTCCAGTGCACCACCATGACAAGTAGGTGTTTGAAAATGTCGGTCTCCGACTCTCCAGTTTGGCTCAACTTACTTTCATAACATTTACGTGAAATGTCCTCTCACCAGGTCCGACCTGAGGAACCTGTACTCTCTGTCCTATCTGTACTTCAGTCCATTGGGAACCATCACAGCAATCAGCGTAGGACTGGTTGTCAGCATCTTGACAGGCAAACTGATCTTTCTCTTAAGTCAACTTTTATCTTTTATCGAGACTTTGTGATGCTCATTTTTGTCTGTTTTTGCGCCTTCAAGGAGGCTGCAACCTCAAAGTGGAGCCAAGGCTTACCTTAAACAAGGAAGACACAATCATTTACCATTTCATCAAAATGTTTACAGGCAGAGTGAGTACTGCTGCTCTGAGAAAAATTATACCCATGACTCAAATTGGACCTCCATCTCTCATGAGATACTGAACTTCTGTTCTGTTTAGATCAAGCGTCGAAGTGGACATCTGGACCTGAAGAAGGACAGAGTGATGACATTTGGCAATGCTAATCCCGCTTTTAGCGATGTTGAGCTGGACCTTGCAAAACGTGGACTTTCTTGATGAAACGAAACCAATGTTTGGTCAACAATTTAATTATTGTTGTCTAGTCTCATCAAAAGGATTGCCAGTAAAGAATGAGAGAATATACAGGATCGGTAGCAACTGTAATTATATTTGCTGAGAGCCTGGGTCTCCGGGGTTCTGTTGTACAATCGAGAGGGCTTATACCTGGCATTTGTACAAAATGTACACAATTCAAACACTGTTTCACAGACTGGCCAAAGTGTTACAGCTTAGAGAGTTATTCCCAAAGTACTGCATGATTGAGAGAAACTATAGCTATTCTTCAGCACGCTTACTCAGTGTACCTGTCAGGAATGCTTTGATAACGTACAAAAATATTCTGTTGGACAGCTTGTTTCTTTCTAGTGGCCTTCAGACTGGGTTCTGTATACAAAGAAGTTCTGGTAACATTAGGAGATTGTCTAAATGAATAGTTTTGAAAGACCTACCAAAGAACTGGGCAGGTTACACATAAACTTCCTTGCTTGTTTCTAGGTCTTGATGATCTGTCTAGAATGATCATGTCACCTATTGCAATGTATCCTCAGCCATTTTGTCTTTCTTTACCCCGAAGAAACCGTCTGCCGGATTTGTTCTTGTGATTCCAGACATTTCCACTCTAAATGTTATGCGATTTGATGATTGTACAATGATTGAGTATTCCATAAAGGAATTGAGAAACCTAGAAGTTCCTCGCTCCCTTTATAGGTTTTACCTGGTTCGTTGATGAACGCAAAAGAACAACCAGGTCTCTAACGGCAGGAGTGTACAGGTGTGTTTTGTAACAACCCCAAGTTGGGAAGAACATCTGCATTGACCTTTGTCCTCAGATCAAATTAATATCTCAATGCAGATGATATTTGTTCCCTCATAATGCCATCTATTTTGAGAAATACACTAATCCTTCCTACAACGAAACATTTCACAGGTTTACCTTAAAGAACTGACATATTTGTAGAGAGAAATCTCAATTTAAATAGCCTCGGTACCTGGATACTGGTCTCTAAGAGCCAATATATTTTTTGTTCTCCACTTGAATAGTCCTTTCATTCCTGAACGGAGGTATGGCTGAGAGAGCATAGATTACGAGGCGAATGGCGCCATCTGCTGGAGGAAAACGACTCTGCAACAACCACATTTTTTTTCGGTTTTTTTTTTTTTTTTTTAAATGGATAGAACTTCTTTACATGCCATGAATTAGAATGAGCTGCAACAACCACCATAACTATAAAAACCTGCTTGTTTCATTTAGGTAGCACTCTGATTCATTGCTACTTCTAGACAAAATATTTTGGAACAAAGTTTTAACCTCAAAGTAAAAAAATAATTTGTTGCACATCTCAATCCAAATATCCACCCAGTAACTTCTTCCCTCAACTTAGATTTATTCTCAACCATAAATTTTCCCTAAAACCTTGACTTTATTTTTATTTTTATTGAGCTTAATTTTGGTTGCTGACCAATTGTCATAATCGGTTCTGATTGTGTGTTTGGGAGAAATCAGAAATAGTTCAAAGTACAATTTAAGCTAAATCCCAGGCTAAGCCATCCTAAAAAGTTCACAAATACAGAAATTAAAAGCAATAAATCTCTAAGACAAGCTAAAAAAACAAACAAAAAAAAAAACATCTGATGACTCAAATTGCATTCATGTGATAAAGGAATAAAATACATAGATATATGATAAATAGAAGTTTTTGTTTTTTTGTTACATCCAGAGATGAGAACAGACCCAAAAGGGTTCATTTTCAACAAACATGAGTGTCATGAATCAGACAACAGCTTTTTGCATCATTTTGGCTTTTTGCAGCCAATTTTCAAACACTGGCTGAATTTGTTTTGAATTTTATTTATAATAAATACCAATAAATCATGCATATCTCATATGTTTCCTGAATGGAATAAACTGCTGATCTTCAACAGATGTGTCAAATCCCCCCCTTTTATTCTTAAAAAAAAAAAGAATCACAAGTTAAGTCAGTGTTTACAGCTTGTTTGTCCTCAGAGTGCAAAGAAGGAACTGTGGAATAAATTCAAATGTTCAACATTTGAAACTAAGCTTTCTTTTTGCCAGATGTTCCTGTCTACATTTGCTTGCTCCTTTCTCGTGGACCATGTGGATGTCGAACGGGACATTCAGAGCTCTTCGGCACACCAACGCCGCATCACTAAGCTGTGTGCATGCAAATTATTACATGTCTAGTTCAGTTTAGCAACTTCTGCTTTGGTGCTACAATTATCTGCTGTTTACAATTCGACATTCACATCGGCACGAGAGGGAAAAGGGAAATCCTTTTTCAAATGGGGAAGTGCATTAAAAAGCTGGCTCCGTGTTGAAGATTATTGGCTTGTTGATTAATACGCTGCCCTGTAAAAGCATTCATGGTCCTTGAGCTTTTCCACTTGAAGTAGACCAGAGCAAATTGGTGCATAATTGTGAAACAAAGAAAAAAATTGTGCCAGAAACGCAACAGGTCAGGTTGAGATGATTGAAGCTGGACTGAGTTATAAAAATGCATCGTAAGATATGAACATCTTGCAAAGCACAGCTTAATCCTATCAACTGAATATGGCAACAATACCCAAAAAAGGCCATACAAGGGCAAAGAGATCATTTTTCAGAGAAGAGCAGTTTGGAGGCCCATAACTGGAGGAGCTGTATGGACACACAGCTCAAAAAGAGAATCTGTCGTCAGCCAGGATCTGGGTAAATGTGGCCTTTATGGAGTTTTGAGAGAACCGTAAGAAGACTGCCAAGAAGTTTGCCACAAGCTCAAGAGAGGACAAAGAAAGCCTGGTGTTCTGGTTTGATGAGACCAAAATTGACTTTTTGTTCCTATAGTCCACAGCATTGCTTCAGTTGCGTCAGTGGTGCGCAGTGCAGAGGTGGAGCAGATGATTAAGATTATCCTTAAAAAAAACAAAAAAAACAAAAACAAAACAAAACTATAAAATCTACAAAATGTACATCTGGGAGATGGGATTTAAATAAAAACCACCATTTTGAGATTTTTGTTTGTAAAAACATCACCTTTCTCCACAGAAAGCAGTTAATTGCAGAATGGGCTACTTTATTTGTGCAAAGATCCATGCATCCTCTTTGGGACATACAAAAGTGTATTCAGTTGAAAACTGTGGGAGCCACAGGAAGAAATTGAGTAAAAAGAAATTAAGCTGGTGTTCAAACTTAAAAAGAGAAAACAAAGAAGAAAAAAAAGTTTCTTACATTCACAACAATTATAATACCAGTACATACCTGGTCATGTTTAGCTTTGAAGTAAAAAGATCCATTTCTCTCCACTCAAAGCTAATAATTGTATACATTTCAAACAAAAATAAAATAAACTCATAGCCAGTGTTTGTAGACTTTAGCTTATCTGAACAATACAGCTAAGTCAACCGTTATGTTATCAGAAAGTTAAATATTAAAAAAAACCTATTAAAACACTAGTCTTAACTTTAAGCAAAGGAAATGTGTTTCAACACACTTGTGACATAATTGGTCAGTGCTATGCTAGCTCTTTTTGACACATCATGATTTAACTGAATGCGTTACGTCACGATCAGCTGTTTCAACGGTACTGATCAAAACCTTCAGGTTTTCAGGCTGCCCAGTGGTAAACACCCTGGTCAGCACAACCTCTCCTGTAAACACAGCGACGAGCAGAAACCCAGACTAAATTAGCAAACATGATCCGATACATAAAAATCATCTGTAGGGTTGACCGTCCTCCCAGCCCCGAAGCCTGGCCTCGACTGTCAATGCAACTCTTGATTCAGGAATATTCAGGCACCAGTAAATGTCCCATCAGTCTCCACTCAGAAGTGGCAAACTGTCCGTCATCGCCGCGCCGGTGCGAGGAGACGTACTGCAGAGGGGTCGAGGGGCTCAAGAACCAACGGCCTCATAGTGCACCGTCTATACAGGTGGTTGTCCGTTATGCCGGAGCCCAGTGTAAGGCCACAGCAGCTGCTGGATGGTCATCCAAGAGTCTCCTGTCCCCACTGGCGCTGCGTCCACTGCTGGCTGCGTCACCAAACTGAACAGGAGTGCAAGAAGGCCTGCGTGCGATACGAAGTGGGAGGTAAGGCTTTGGAGGGGAAGACGCATTTTATATTTCAGGATAGGAATTTTAGCAAAAACAAGCTCTTCCTTTTACGACTAAGAAGAAACAGTTTTCCTAGGACAGCAAGTTGTTTCTCCACCATTAGGGCACTGAGCAGCTGGTACATGAGCATGACTGGTTCTGATTGGTCGTTTCTGACCGGGAGCTGTGAATTTCTTCAGACGGCAACAATAGCTCAGAGAGAAGGGGAAGCTTTTATTTTTTTTTTTTCCACAGATCGTCTCATATCGTACCGTCATGACATACTAACAGTTTTAACAAATATGATAGAGAACATTTTTCATAAAAAGTTAGATACCCCAGCTTTAAAGGTGTCAGGGAGAGCTGAGTTTAATTCAAGTTGGTCATGTAAAAAGCAGCATCACAAAATTTAAAAAAGTCTAAAAGGATGAAGCCTTTGCACATCAAACAGCTTTTATTATATCCAAATATATAAAACCCTTTAATAAAAAAGGATGTACTTTATGCTCAAATCTGATTGCTTGTGACGAAACAAATGAAAACAGAAACTGCACAGTGTGGCCAACTTTGTTTCTCCTTCTGTTCATTTTAACCTTCTAATAATACATAATTTTTAGCAGAAGCAGATATGTTTACCTGCTAGCACAACCACAATAGCCAGCCACAGCCACAGCCCTCTGCTTCCTCTGGCCACTGCTGCAGCCGACGCCTTGGAACTGGTCAGGTTTTGGGAAACAGACTGAGGAATTCCTGGATCTGTAGTTGTGGGGCTGGACGAAGAACTTGGACTGAAGGAACAAGAAGGAAATGTTAGTCAATGGTCACCTGAAGCTATTCTATGAAGGATGGTTAACCAGAGCAAGTGAGTCAACATGACAGAAATGAATCGTGATGGAGGTAAAGCCACCACAAGATGATTCAGGAAACATCAGTTTCATTTATGGTAAAATGAGCAACAAGCAGTAAATTTAATGAAATCTGAAGGTAGATCTGATGTTGGGAGTCACCAGTTTTGCTGTTTTAAAGACAGAGAAGCATTTATATTATAATGAAGAGAATGCAAAAGCTGTGCAAAGCTCTAAAGCAGTCTGATTGGTGAATGGGTCGGAGAATGAACTTGGCAGACTCTCTGAACTTACAGCAGGACAAATAGTTCATCCTGACTCCTGAGTTATTTGTAAGTAAGGAAGGAAAAGACAGAAAAATGGAAAAACAACAGCTCATTATTTGCTTGCGTGCATAGGATAGACTCTTGCCCCACCGTAGATTAGGTTCAACCAAAAATAAACAACTTGCACAGAAATTGTTAAAACACATGAATGAATTAATATCAGGGACAGAACAACAAGGTCGGCGAGGATGAACATGGAATAGATGCTTTACAAAAACAGTCCGAGCTCCAGCCCCATGCAGAAGTCACAAATCAACTCTTTAGTCACATTCGTCGCAAATCAAAAACGTATGGCAAAATAAAGAGTGTCATGTTAACAGGAAGCTGCAGAAAGTAAAGAAGTTGGCCCAGCTTTATGCCCTTAAAAGAAACAGTTTCATCACTTGGGAGGTTCCTCAAGTTCCTTTTAACTTTCAGACTAATCTACGGACGTCACAGATGTTTCCTCCAAATTATTACAATTTCAGGTAATGATTCAGGCAAACTGCTGGAGAAGCAGTAAGCATCTGCAATCAACATAATAGTTATGTATAAAATAACTCATTAAATTTTGACCTCAGTGGTTACTCTACAGTTGGGTTGAATTCAAACAAAGACCACCACAGGTGAGCAGTACAGGAACCTCGCTGAAGCCAAGTGATCAACTTTCACTGTGCGTCGGCATTTTGCTCGCAGACAGTAGCGCTGCAGGAAGCTGGTGATGTTCTTTTGCTTTCACTAACGTCTTCTGGGGCAGAAGGAGAGAGGTGATTTTCAGGCTCAGGTCAGTGATGCTGGACTTCCTTTCCTCCAGCACCGCCTCCTTCGGCTTGTCGTCCGACTGGCAGTCTGCGCTGCTGCAGGACGGCCTGTGGGCATGCACGGTCATGCATTCACAAACAGTGTACAGAGCAGTGAGACTACAAAACCACGTTTGCTGAGCAGACACGTCAGGCATATAGAGCACAAAAATGTATGAAGCTGGTCAAGCTGGTAAGATAGACATTTGAAAACAAAATAAGAATATTGACGATTTACATTTGAGCTAAAAATGAATGCATTCCACCTCAAGCAAATTACAGCGTTTTGAAAAATATTTATACCCCTGGAATTTTACTAAATTATTATTAGTATTCAGCCAATTCTTTGCAAAAATCAATTGAGCCTTTTACTTTATGGCTCAAAGATTTTCATCATTTTTGCAGAATCTTTTATTAGCACAATCAAGTGATTATACTACCTCCAGTGAGAAAATATGAAAAAAAAAAACAAATTCAAGGGGTATGAACATATGTAGATGGCGATGTTGATTTTTCAAAACCAGAACATTAAGTCTTAAAGCAATTTCACACCTTTACATACATCAAGTAGTAATTTTTGGTAAGCAAATACAGGACAGCATATTGGATGGTGTCATCAACCAATTAAGACCCGTCTCTGTGCACAAACAGCAGCTCAGGTTTTAGTGGGTTTGCAGCAGCAGAACAGACCATTAAAACAGCTGATTTCCACAGACACTTCCTCATGCAAAGGACTTCATGCATAAAGATGGCTGTCATGTGGTTGAGTGTCATTGCTGGGTTATTTCTGTGTTTCTGATCAACTTCAGTTTTTTTTTTTTTTTTTGCTTTTCAATTATTTGGCGTGCACACTCAAAATGAAAACACGTTTCCTCGTCCTTTCAGA